CTCCACTTTTTGATTTTGGTGGTAGGTGGCTTCCGAGAAAGTAAAAGACAAAAAGAGAGGGTATAAGAGTAATTTCACTGCAAAATTTAAAACCGTTAAATTTATGTTGACTGGCTGTCAAAAATAGAGGAGTCTTTGTAGTTTTTAATACTGAGGGGTGAATGCGACCTTTTTCACAGTACAGGTCGGAAACTGTATTTTACCCATAAAAAATCTATTGAAATTTCAAGATTCTGCTTATCACTAGAAGGGAATAATGTTCTTGAATGATTTGTTTGTCACTAGAAGAGAATATTACACTTGATGCTTTTGTGTCTATTATTGAAAAGTACTAGTCAAATTATAGGGCAAAAAGAAGTTCTTCAAAAGTTAATGCCAAACTTAGGTGGATCATCTTGATTTTTGGGCTTATTTGGATTGAGTCCTTTGGTAATGAACTTCAACTTCGTATCTCTCATTTTTCAATTGTTTTAACAATTAAGGTGGACTTTGAAAACCCTTCTCGTTTACAGTCGCTTCTAATCATCCCCACTTGAACCCATTTACAATCCATTCCTTTCAAAGAACACCGGCCTAAAGGTTACCGCAAGTTTCAATTGGTCATCCTATAATTGCTGTTGAAATAGTGAACTCAATTTTTTTTTAAACATGCGTTAGTTTATCCTAATAAAAAGTAAAAAGTAACGTAATCATTTTATCAGTGACCAAAATGGACTTTTGATATCATTTTTACGATTTTTAACAATATTTGAAGGATTTTTTCTTTAATCTTTAATTTATTTATTAGTTCTTTTATTAAGAAAATTGGTCAAATAGGGGTGAAAGAAAACAAAGAAGTGTAATATGAATATGAATATGATATATAAACCATTTCCTTAGATTGGTTACACTCCTTATCAAACTATTATAATATCCGTACCGTGTCTGCTGCTTTCCTAATCATATACATGTGTACGTGCAGGGATCCTGTACATTCTTTGGGATGGCATAGGTGAGTATCAAATTGTTGAATATATATTTTTATATTTTCAATTGTTCTTATCCATTAACATATCTTTATAGATAGCACTTTGTCCCCTGAATTTTAGCTTGTTTTGCGTTTAGGCATTTTTATAAATATGGATTTTTTGATATAGACCCCTCATAAATTGTTTTAATATAAAGAGGTCTATTTATATTTTCTCCATTTAAACTCACGATATTTTTTAATCTCAAAATTACGGTTCAACTATCTTCTTTCCACTGCACACCATCTCCATTTTTTTTTGGGTAAATTGCACTTAACCCCCTTGTGGTTTGGACATTTTGCACATGACCCCCCCTTATGGTATGAATTTAGGCACATAACCCCCTTGTGGTTTTGAAATTTTGCACATGGCCCCCTTCGTAGTTGATTAATAAAATTGACTGCTAAAATAGTGATCGATAATGCAATCAACTTTAAAAGTAACAAAAACAACTGTAATGTCGTCACTGGCACTCAACACAATTCAACAGAACTAAACAATAACAAACCGCAAAAACCACAAAAAAATAATCAATTAATGGCCATAAGTCCACCACCAACAACGGCAAATGCAATAATAACAACAATTATTGGCAAAAGTCCACCACCTACAATTCAAAAATATATTATTTAACTTCAAAGAATATATTAATCAACTAATACCTTAGAGTAATCAACTACTAAATTAAGTCGAAACAAAAATGATAGAAACATCAAAATCAAATATCGAAACATTATACATCTCTAACAGATTAGATAATAGAAAAATAAACGAAAAATCTCCAGGTTAGAGAATAGATTGATAGTGGCCGAACAAAGAAGCACCACCGCAATACCTCCAAGCCCAATTATATGTGGCAAAACAAAGAACCAATAAACATATTAAAAAATAAATTTAAAATTGTAGTCGATTACCGTAATTAAATAATAAAATTGTTTTATGGATCCAACCGAGTTCCAACAAAATGTACTACGCACCAAACATCGGCCGTGCTTTCCTCCTCAAAACCAACAAACCACCCCTCCCCGTCGATCCGCTCCCGCTTCCGCTCGGAGCCCCGTCGCCAACCTTCGCCGGTTTTCTTTTAAAATGGAGATTAAAAATGACAAAGTACTATTTTGAATCATATTATAATATAAGACTATGCCCAAATGGAGATTCTCTTAAAATGACAAAGTACTATTTTATTAAATTAATGACCAAAATTATATTACGTAAATAAAAATATTTGGAGTCATATAGAATATAAAACTATGCCCAAATGAAGATTCTTATAAACAGACAAAATATTATTTTGTTAAATAAATTTTAAATCATGTAACTAAAAGCAAGCTTTTAATTTACTGTTCCAACTAGTATTATGAAAAAACTGTTTTGAGGAGGCCATTATGAACTTATTTCACAATATTTTTTTTTTCAATGCTTGTAAGGATTCTCTAATTTGAAGTGAGTAGTGACCCTAATAACTTCAAGGTTTTCGGTTTCCAGCTTTGATACTTATGTCCAACCTAGCACTGAGGATCGTAATTGGAATGCCTTGCATGCTTGGTCTTTTGATCTATAAATTTCGAAGAAGGCATTTGTCAATGTTCGACGTAATTGAAGGCTTCCTGCAAAGTAACACAGATCTCAAAACAATCCGCTATACATACTCAGATATGAAGAAAATCACAAAAGGCTTTCGAGAAAAACTAGGCCAAGGAGGCTACGGTTCTGTTTACAAAGGAAAACTTCGAAGCGGCCATGATGTAGCGGTCAAAGTACTTGCCAAGCCTAGCTCAAATGGGCAAAATTTCATCAATGAAGTAGCCACAATTGGAAGGATCCATCATGTTAATGTGGTTAAACTTGTCGGGTATTGTGCAGAAAGATCCAAGCGCGCCCTTGTCTACGACTTCATGCCTAATGGTTCGCTCGAGAAGTACATATTTAATAAGGAAAAAGGTAATTCACTTAATTTGAAGAGGAAGTACGAGATTGCAATTGGAGTGGCTCGTGGAATTGAGTATTTGCACAGAGGATGCGACATCCAAATCCTGCATTTCGACATAAAGCCTCACAACATACTTCTTGATGAAAATTTCACACCTAAAATATCTGATTTTGGTCTGGCAAAGTTTTATTCAACAGATAATACTACAGTGACTCTCACTGCAGTTAGGGGAACAATAGGCTATGTGGCTCCTGAGCTAATGAATAGAAGCATCGGTGGAGTGTCTTACAAGGCCGATGTTTATAGCTTTGGGATGTTGTTGATGGAAATGTTGGGGCTTAACAAAG